GATTCTAGTCAAGGTGTATGGAGTTTAAAAACATTGTGTTTTCTGTTTGAAAGAAAAACTCAGCCTAAATATGCAGGGTTTGTGTGTTAAACATGTGTATATGAAGCAAAACACAACTCCAGGTATGTTCATGATGAGGAAACAACATTATAGCATAGATCAGTATAGTGTAATATGTGCTCTTTTCACCAGAATTGAAGCTGGACTAGACCATGACTAACCCAGGACTAGTTGTGCATTCATACACATTCTCATTTTCACCCAATTTTAGTTCTAGTTCTTTTTAGTTCTTCCAGGTTTACTTCTGGATTTAATCCTAGTTTGGAACCAGTATCCAAAACCGGAAAAGACTGAATGCATCCGTACTCTAGTTTCCTTGGTCCAGGCTTCTGCAGTGGAGGAGGCCTGAGCCAGTCCTTGTTAGTACAGCTGCCTCAGACCAGCAGCAGGAACAGCTGGAAGGAGCAGAGGCTCAGTGGGTAGGGACTGCTGTAAGTGATATGTGTCTGATCACTGCAGTAGTGGGAGGCAAGAACATCGGCATTGGCTACTACTTGGAACTTTTTTTTATTTTTGGTGTTTCTGGTACACTCAGCATATATAGTATTTTGGAGATATTGGTTGTAGATTATTGTGTAAAGTTTTTTTAAACATATTTTTGGTGAAACGCTACTTGATTTAGTATTTGAATAAGTTTTGCTTTTATCATGAATATAATGATAGCAGTAATAGCAGAAGCTGTAGTAGTAGTACAAGTAGTAACAGTAGTAATAGCAGTAGTTGCAGTAGTAACATTCAACATACATTTTTCATTTAACACTTTCTATCTCACATTATATTATTATAGAAAACCCCATGTCTTGACTGACTCTTCTCTTCCTGATTGTATTTGTTTTCCCCCTCCTCCTCTTTTTCCTCTCTTCTCTCCCCTCTCTCTCTCCTCTCCCTCCTCTCCCTCCTCTCCCCCGCTGTCACCTCACACAGTCTGGCAGCATCAACCTAGCTTGCATTTTAATTTGGCCCTGAAGTTACTTATTTCATTATTGATCATCCGTAATGCTGAATCAATGTTCATCTTGTTACATGGGCCCATACCCGTGTAATACAGTGATAGTGAGGCCCAGAGTTACTCATTCCCTTTACAAAGTGACTTTACCGTAAAATCAATGCCTTGTGTTACTGATACAGGGAAAACTGCAGCAGATGGGGCAAAAAGGAGTGGGCCGACAGGAAGCAGGAACACACCTTGAGTGCAAATTTGCTCCATAAAAGCACTTTAAGATCACAATACGTGCTGATGTCATCGTTCTTCTGAGTACTAGCTGTTAAGGTAAAAGCGTATATACAACATTATTATAGATTTTTTTGACTTCAATTCACACTCATGGATAGAAGAATACCTGGACAAAATACAAATCATGCTCTGTCCTACAAGTATAGGAGAGAAATGGAATAACTTTTAGAGCAGATTTAATGTAGTTGTAGAGTAGTATCAGCAATAGCACTAATAATAGTAGTAGTAGTTGTAGTAATAGTAATAGTAGTGTTAGTGGTAGTATTTGCTTCAGTTCTTTCCGTTCCTGTCTCTTCATTTATCCTGGCTTGTGAGCAGCACAAAGACACAGGCTGATGACCCCTTGTGGTCGTATTAATTATAACACCTTATCTCTCCATTTACTTTGATATAAAGTGTCAAACCTGATCACATAAATAAATGCATTATACACACATTGATCAAATTACACTCTCTTAATTCCAAATTGTAAACTTTTGTATCATCTTGTGTTACACCTCATCCAATAAAAGACTGCATTGACACTGGCACTGCACTTGGCAAGGAACAAGTGGGCCTTCACATTTGGAGGAGCAGCCTCTGACCTGTACATAATGAGCCATTGTAAAATATTTAAGGTAATGTGTTAATCCCAGCTGTCATAACCTACTTTAATAAGTTGCACTCCATTGACTGTTAATTTGTTTCCAAATGATGTGAGCTCCAAAATGTTTCACTTTGCCACTAGCGCAAATCAAACTTTTGGCCTGGTCTATCTATTTATTATGCATGAATGGCTTGGTGTAATGCAATTAAAATTATACCATTAAAATTATCCGAACAGTGAAAAAAAAATTAAACTTCAAATGTATTTTCAAAGTACACTTGCTGCTGCTGCTAAGAACAATTAATTTCAGAAACTAATTCATTTATTGGATTAAGCCTCGCTGTTCTTTAAACACCGAGATTTATTGGCCCTTTATTTCACCCTAATGGGACATGAGTTTGACAGAGCATATTTGGAGAGTGAATGTGTTGCGCAGCAGTTAGTTTCTGGGTTAACCATGCATTTAAGTTTTAAACCCGCTGAGAAACATTGCTGATTAACAACATTAGTGATGTATATTCCCCAGCAGCAAAGATTCATTTTGGATGTAATAACTTTCTTTAATACCAAAAGTTATTTGAAAAACTTCTCTTGGAGTTGATAATAAGTTATTTTCCATTTGTTGAAATTGTGCTGGGCTTTAAGTGGTCAAGTGTTTGTCACTGTCAGCGTAAAAGCATAGAGTGGGTTGCGCGTAATCCATTCAGAAAACTTATATTTGGCCTACATCTCTTAGTGCCAAACGACTTTAGCATGATGTATTAACTAATTATTCTCTCTCTAAACACACAATGTTTATTAGCCACTTAGACGTTGATTTCACGTGTGATTAAATATGCGATTTTTTTCTTACTCCTGTCACTGTGGCGGTGTGTGGAGACGATCCAAACGTGTAATTTGAAGAGCCTCCGTTTGAAGCCTTTGATCTGACGTGTTTTGCTGAGACTCCGGTTCATCATTTGGAGACGTGTCGCTAGTGCCCTGTGTATTGCATAAGGAACTACTGTTGAGCGATAGGCCGTGTATGTTTGCTTAGGGAGAACGTGAAATTGTGTCATCTGCATAATTAGTGTCTGAGAACTTTCACCACTGCCTAAGTAAACTCCTTTTACGCACGAATATGGAGAAATAACTGTGCGTAATAATAATAATAATAATAATAATAATAATAATAATAATAATAATAATAATAATAATAATAATAATAATAATAGGCTAATGATCTAACGTGATGAGGTGTGCGCGTGCATGCGGAAGTCAAGCAGAGGTTGCTGTTTACTGAGAGGAGCAGGAGGCAGCACGTCTTAATGCTTTTATGGCCCAGGCAGTTTCCCGCGTCGGTGTGAAAGTGATTGGTGGCAATAAATCAGCCATAGGAGGGGTTTGTGTGTGCGGTGGGGCCAAACAGACGTGGTCAGGGGGATGAGACACGTGTCCATGAGCGGCGGTTAGCGGACTGCCCTGGCCAAAGGCTGTGTAGCGCGACCCTGCCTTCTCTTTCTCCTCTTCTCAGTATAAACTTTGCAATCTTCTTTGTTTGCACTCCACTTCCTAAACGCTAAGTTGTCGTAATGTAAGTTCTGTCTCTGGCCCCCTCTCTGTTTGTAGGTCGACGGCGTGTGTGCGCGCTCGAGCATGTGTGCCTCTGCTATTGACTATGTAGGCTGGTGATTACCATTCCGGTCGGATGGCACCAGCAAGCCGATGTAATTAATAACCCCATAATCCGGGTTAGGGTGGATGTCGAGGCAGAACACACACAGATCCAGGGCAGGACTTTGACAGAAACAAGGCATATAGTTCTGTATACGAAATTATAGTTATTATTATCCCTCCCAGACAATGATAACTATCTGCTTCAAAAGAAGATTAAAGGTTTAGACAAGTTGAGAGTTCCTGGAAACCCGGAGCGCATTATCCTAACTGTGAGTGAGATTGGTGAGATTTGGTGTCGCCCTCAATATTGTATTTAATACTTACGCCACGTCCACACATAAGAGCGCTAAGTAATAAGAAGTTGTTTTGCAAACGATTAGCAAAACAGATGCTGATATAAAAGTGGGTTGGAATGGAATTATGATTGTCTTCTACTTAGTTTTATTTATTGATTCTTGGAAATTTCATTAGAGTGTTGTCAAGATTAATCCGTATTATTCTGTATTATAATTACAAATTATATCACAACGGCATTATTATTATTATTATTATTATTATTATTATTATTATTATTATTATTATTATTATTATTATTATTATTACAGTCTTGATGTCTTTTTTTTTTTTTTTCCTGTCTTTTAGTAAATATCTTCAATAAACATTCCCAATCAACTTCACTCCGGAGTGAAGAGTGAGATGGCTTCATTGTTTATTAGAACACTTATCAGCGCAGCGCTTCTCACTTGAGCTTGCTTTTACATAATGCTCCAATCATTGGTGGCTTCTTTGATGTCAAATGGCTACGCGACGCAGCCCGTTTGATGTCTTTAATTAGGAAAACCAAAATCATTTTCATGGCACTGTAAAGCCCATAACACCTCACAGCGTCACAAGGAAATGGTAGTACTGCATTCTGCATAACATGGCATGGCTTCAAACAATCTTAATTAAAAATAAAACATTAAATAGATGTAAGTAATAATAATAATACATACATACATTATTGGAATAAAATAAAAACAACTCAGAATTATTAGAAAGGTTTTCTAAAAGCGAATAAAAATTAACAAACTTTAAAACTGTTATGGGCTGTAGGATACTGATCGTGAAATCAAGGTAATTACTTTCAGTCCCAAAACATATAGGCCTACCTTCCAAAACCAAAGAGTAATTGTGGCATAAGACTTGGGCTATATGAATAAATACACTTGCCGGGCATAAAATGAGATTTGAAACCTAATTCAAAAGTGAGCTGACGACGACGGCGCACTTCTCTGCTCGCTGAGAGGAGAGAGAGAGAGAGAGAGAGAGGAAGAGAGAGAGGGAAAGAGGGAGGAGAGAGAGCTGTTTGGTGTGTGGTGTGTGAGAGGGGTGAGATTTGAGAAATGGGAGGGGCTTCTAAACGACTAGAAATGTCAATCTGAGCAAGGGAGTCCCAATAATCTAAAGCAATCTGTAAGGACCTGACCTTAGTCCATCCAGATCAATAGGGAAGTGAAGCTGGCAAGAAGAAGAGGAAGAAATAAGGGGCGCAACCGGATCGTTTACACTGGCCGTTCCAGAGGAAATATAGACTTGTCTCGCGCGCACCTTTTGTTGCCACATGCGCTCACTTTAGGCGAAAGTGGATATCGAGGCAATTCTATTGCTTTGTGTGACTGCAGCAGACTTTACCTCTACTACCGACAGCCATGTCCTTTCCTCAGCTGGGATATCAGTATATCCGGCCAATATACCCGCCGGAGCGCCAAGGACTTCCCAGCAACGCCAGGACCGGGACAGAGCTGAGTCCGTCTGGTGCGCTCTCAAACGTCCTCTCCAGCATGTACGGATCTCCGTTCGCAGCCGCGGCGCAAGGCTATGGAGCCTTTCTCCCTTACTCCAGCGATATATCTATCTTCAACCAGCTGGTAAGATCATTTCTTTACTTGTATTTTCTTTCTGGTCTGCCCCATAGAAGTTTTTAAAAAGTAAACAAATGCAGCGCTCTTGGTGAAAGTTGTTCAGCATCAAGCGTAAAACTTTCAGTGACCAGTAAACTTTTTCATAAATTTGTTCGTTAAGAAAGTATGTAAAAGTGACCCATTATGATTGTTGTTCACTTTAAAACATAATTTACATAGGCCTTTTCTTGAAAAGTTGCAGAGATTTTCTTTTTCTTTTAAATACATTACTATCACAAGAGTGCGGCGAAACTTTGGCAGTAGTGCTGCTGTTTTGTAATAATGTGTAAATAAGTGTCCAAATAAACGCTGTTTTCTATGTGATTTGAGTGTTTTAAATTACTTTTACACTTGTGTAAATATTGGACGCTCAATGTGCACATTGTTCCTTTTTTGCAGGGTGCTCAGTATGAGCTAAAAGATAGTCCCGGAGTGCAGCACCCAGGGTTTGCCCATCATCACCCTGCCTTCTACCCCTATGGCCAATATCAGTTTGGGGATCCGTCCAGACCCAAGAACGCTACGAGGGAGAGCACCAGCACCCTAAAGGCCTGGCTCAGTGAACACCGCAAAAACCCATATCCCACTAAAGGAGAGAAGATCATGCTGGCCATCATCACCAAGATGACCCTCACACAAGTGTCCACCTGGTTCGCCAACGCCAGGAGGAGACTCAAGAAGGAGAACAAGATGACGTGGGCTCCTCGGAACCGTACCGACGAAGACGGTAATGTTTACTCCAGTGACCACGAAGGGGAGGAGGGGGACAAGAGGGAGGACGAAGAGGAGATCGACCTGGAGAACATTGACACAGAGAACATCGAAAATAAGGACGACTTGGATGACCAGGACGACCTACACTCTGAACTCAAGCTGGACGGGAGAAGTGACTCTGAGATTTCTGATGGCTTTGAGGATTTACAAGGGCCTGAGCAGAGGTTTCTAAAAGCTATGGGAAAAGACAGTAAAGTAGTGGACCGAGAGCACTTCCACAGCCACCACCACCATCATCATCCCGCACTGGACATTAAAACGGCCCAGTCCTAACGGGGAGCCGTTAAAACTTGAACGCGGTGTCTGCAGGCTCTCCTCCCTCAGAGAATAACGCGGCCCCGGCTGCCCAGAAACCAAAGATCTGGTCTTTGGCAGAGACAGCCACGGCTCCTGACAATCCACGCAAATCCCCACCACAAATAAACGGAGCTAACTCCGCTGGGCCCGCGGCGCAGACCATAATCGCTCCTCACAGACTCATTTCTTCTTGTCCCGTTGGGAAAATTCAGAACTGGACAAACCGAGCGTTCTCCGCGCATCAGCTGGCTTTACTGAACTCTAACCACTATCTGGGACTGGCAAACCAGGCAACAGCCACAGGCCTGGCCCTGTACAGCAGCAGGCAAACGGAGGACAAGAGCCATAGTCCAGAGACTCCAGTCACAGGTACCTGTCCCCGACACTGAGACGTGCATGTAGAATCAGCCCAAACAAAGACGCTACCCCACTGCTTGCCACTCATTATTTTAGAGCCCTTTTTGACTGACTTTGGATTGTGTCTGTCTAGGCCACACAGAAGACCAGTATTACAGTGTTACTTCTTACAATGTGTGTGCGTGCGTGTGCGTGAGTTCGAATGTCTGTCAAACCAATTCAGCGCTTTTTACGCATTGAAACAACATTGGTTGAGGATGAAACTGAGGCCCATATCTGCTTTTATTTTATGGTTCACATATTACAATGCAAATGTAACATTCTCTCCAACCCTAATCTGGTTTTATTTATTTATATTTTTTCTACAAAATAATTAATTCATTACCACTGTTTCTGATAGATCTAGTGCCTTTATGGAGAGGAATTGTAAAAACAAAAAACAAAAACTTTTTTACGCAGTAGAAAAAGTGCAAGACACTGTCAGTGAATTATGCTGGGAATTTGTTTTCTTTTGGAGCCATATTATTTTATTATTTCTTATTGTATTTTCAAACGCCATTTTGCCCAGCTTTTATTTGCTTGCGTTTTTTCTCAAGGCCTGTGTTATTCGTTTGTGGTCATGCAAATTAGTTCGATGCATATTCGCAAAGCAAGTGTCTCTTTTCTATCTCTTTGTGTTGAAGCTCTTGATGCGGCTATTATTAGTACAGTGTTTTCTTTAGATCTCATTTGATTCCAGGCCTCGAAACAGCGCTGACTGTGGTCCTTTTTCCTCCACAACCCCATGTGCCCATATGATTCGTCCCTTTCATTTGAATATGGAATGTAAAATAACTATAAACATCTCTGTATACTTACATTGTAAGCATGTCCCGTGTAAAACTGCTAATGTAATAATGTATGAACTGTAGTCTGTGAGTTTCCCCTTTTCCTTTTCATTTTTGTAAGTTCTGTGAGGAATTGATGTTCAAACGTTTTGTATATAAAGTTGAGAATATGTACATACTTGTGAACCAAATTGTACAAAGTCTATATTTTGGCTAATAAATGAACTGCTGCAACTTTAAGATGAAGTTGTTTTTCACATGTGCTCTGTGGGGGTATTTGTGCGTCTTTTCGATTTTTATTTTATTTTTTCAGCCAAACTGAAAACATTTTTACGCTTTTGTGCATGCTAATACAATAAATACTTAGGCTATAATTACACATTTTAAAAACAAATATTTAGGACTAATCAACCTCTATTCTTCATACACTTCTATACCCAATCGCTGGGTTTCTTCTTATAGTCAGCAGTGCACACATGTATTTTTTTTCTTTTTAAAGCGCGCAGTTTAAAGAGTATTAGTGTAATGAATGACTTGCTGGGGGATCAGTGTGGCTCGGTCACAGCGGTTTGAGTTGATCCTGAAGATGGATTTTGGCTTTGTAGAAGTGCAACTCCCAGATCTCATCATGCGCAATTTGTACCGTCTTTTCCCTTCACATACATCACATGGACGTCTCTCCTCTGCCGCTCCTCACCGCGCGCTTTAATTGTAATGTATAGCTACTGCGTATTTAATAACCCCGTAATTTATTTGGTTTCTCCCTCTATGATGTTATCATATGCACGGGCGCTTATCACAGGAACTTAATGTAAACTTTGTGTTGGAGCTCCCTCTACAGTCACCGGGCGTCACACAAGCTCCTCTTCACATACACACAAGCTCTGGAGGTGTTTCTTTTCTTTACTCGTTATCACTATGGCTCAAATTTGTAATGTCTTTGATTAATTTATCCAAATAATTTCTTTTGTATCGATGATGTTTGTGGGAATAGTTAGAGATTGCAAACGGATTGTTAAAATTGTCTACCTGCACATTTCTAAGAAGAATGTCTGAATTAAGTTTATATAAAACCGTGGAAGAATATGAGCGTATTCAATTGTTGCAATAAAAATATATAAATCCCTATAGATTAATTTATGGAAACCATCATTTTTAGTTTAGTTAATTTTGTTTTAATTTTGTTGTGCTGCATGTTGGGCCTATAAGATACACAATTTAGAAAACAAAACAAAAAAATCTGGATTTTTAGCACACACATGAACACACACAGAAACACACACAAGAAAAAAAAACAAAGAAAAAAAAGTAAAATCGTTGAAAATACAATTACTTGCAAGCAACCCAATTAGGATAGGGTAAAAAGTAGTTATGGTTTGTAAATAAACTTTTATTTGTGATTTTTTTTTTTTTTATTATTATATTATTTTAATTTTTTGGTCTGCTACCAAAATATCGCCCATTAACTCTTAGCCCATGTTGGCGGTGCAGAAAAGGCGCAAAAATCGCCGGGCTAAATGTGGAGTTAAGTTGCGCGCGTCTGCCCGTCTGTTCCCTCTCTGAGACTGGGATCGGCGCTAAAACAAACCCCAGCCCGTGCAGCCGCGGGAACACTCCGGAGCTGTTCGCTGCTCTTCTCACTGTGTTGCCTTCCTGTCTAATCAATTATCTGCCTTCAGAGCCTCATCTAACTGCGTCATGCATATTAATAAGCGCAATCAGCCAGCTGCTTGATGTTAGACCAGTCTTTTTCTTTGCACTCTCTCACCCTGCTATGTTTTTAAAATGATTATTCGTGGAGGGAAATGCCCTTAAATGACCATGATTACACAAGTACACAATTACTAAAAGGAGTGAAAATTGACATTGACAGATTAAAGATTTAAAAAAAAAATCAAAATGTATGAAAGGGAAGCAATGGCTTGAACTGCACAAATGTTTATGAAAGGACGCAAGGGACTCAGTTTCCTCAAGCACCATTCGCAGGATGTTTTCTTTGATGGGACAAAACTACCATAAAGAGGGCATAAGTCAAACTACACCGAAGGGACAGTGGCTCTGTGTGTACGTGGAGTACGTACGTGCGTCACTGAGTGTGGAGCGCAGGGTCTCGCCTCTGATCACTGCATGAAATTAGGGATTAAAATGGCTCGGCAGAAACAAAGTAATCACGCCTGCTTATGTCGCCTTACGTGTCCAACCTGCTCCCTGATGCAAAGAGTAAATGGAATGCATTAGCTAACATTTCGCTCAGAGCGGCACACGCGCGCACGCACGCGCGAGGGGCCGTTTCAACGCAGGGTGTGGTGCATGTCCTTCTCGCTTAAGTGCATTAGTTCTAACTAATGGGCAACAGGCAGCATCGAGGCGAGTTTTTGTTTTGAACTGAATATCAATTGGTATCACAAACCTTAGATCAGTTTCAAAACAACTAGGCCTATAGTCATTCCAGGGTTTCAAGAGACTACTGTTTTATTGCATTGTCAACAGTGATCATGTGAAATTCCAAAGTTTTTAAAACCCTTTTCTATGTTATATTGGAGAATATGGTGATTCACTCATGCACACAAATGCTGAAGATCTTTTATGTTCTATCTTTTGCAATTTCTGAAGTTGCAAATACATTTGTGAATAAAAAAAAAAAAAAAAAAACAACTTTTGGTTCCACAATAATCTGTCAGAAAGCAAAGTATTCCCACTGTTTTTCCCTTCCCAAGACCAGAGCCAATGGAGCCATCAGAGAAGCAAATAAGAGGAGTAAATAAACACAAGAGCGTCCTATTGGTCAGTGCTGGCCTGTGAAAGAGCCTCATGAAAAAGGGTCACTCGTGTTTTCACCTCATCCTGGGCCTTCTGTCAGAGCCACCTCCTCCTACTCCATATTGAGCTTCTCTTTTCTCTCTCTCCCCTTTTTACCCCCAGCCTGGACATTGTACCCAGTCCCTCCTCCCCTCACACCGGGACAGGCAAATGTCACCTCTTTTGTGCATGTAGTCACGGGCTCAGAAGTGGCCCACTGTCTTTGTGCGCTGGACTAATCCTTTTATGAGCCAGTGTTGACTGCACCCCTCACTATCCCATACACCCCAGAACGTGCATGGGGCTACCCTGTGTTAGCACGAGGATGGGCTGGAGATATGGGAACCAGTGTCATCAAACACCACACCGCCATATGTAAGCTAGCAACTAAACAGGAAAAGCAGCATGTTTTGGTCAAAGCTATGCACCGCCGTCCGTGTTTTATAGCACATTCATTATTCAAGCTAAGTGCAGCATGTTAAAGAATAGCCAGGGCGGATAGGGGAGAGGAGAGCTGTCGGACAAAAGGCCCAGAAGGAGTGACATTCTTTGGGGTAGAAGCGGGAGAGAGGGAGAGCAATGATTTCATGGCTTTTGTTGATGGAGGATACAGAGGGGAATTCTTTTAGTAGACTCGCAAAGGCAACAAGTGGAGAAGGGGGCGACAGGCTGACAGGCCAAAGGGAGCAGAGGCGTTGGTAGGTTGGAGTGTTTTGCTTTCTTTTTGCCGCTCACTCAGCTGAAAGATTGTCCCAGCATTGTTCCCTTAGTTACTTCAGACAGAGCCGAGTTACAGGACAATTATGGAAATGCAGCTTTGAAGGCAGGCATACTTTCCATTCAGGTTTTCATTGGAAGAACACAAAAGGTGTTTTTTTGCCAATAAACAGTTTTATAATACTTTTTTTTTTTAATTAAAGATTTCTGTTTGCGGTTGACATAATGGCTGTAGGGTTCTTAAAGATAATTTGGAAGTTGTCTCAACTCTCAGTTCAAGGTACACCCTATGTACTTTTCTGATTTAGGGTTTGCCACCTGCTTATCTCCATGAATTTGTTGTTGATTTGCCAATGTCAGCTGTCACCAGGCCAAGTTACACGTCGGTTCAGTAGAGATTATCATATGATAATGCATGCTTTTCAGGTAATTTTTCAGACAAAAAATACATAAATAAAAAAATGTAATCTTTAATTGGCTAAAATAAATAAGGTTAATGTCTGTGGGACATTCCAGACAAAAAATATTTTTTTCCTTACAGTGGGCATCAGAAAAGTTACATAAAGCACTTTTTAAGTATATAATTCTGTACATATAATGCCAAAAAGTTGAAAAAAGAAAGTCAGAAATTATGTAAATACTGATACTGATTTGAACTTTAAAATTGAAAGAGGAAAAAAAAAAAACAGATGATATAATGTGTTTGATTTGTTTTGAGTTTTGCCTTCTATTTCCTCCAGCAGTTGTGTTACTTAACCGTACGGCCCCTCCAGTCTCCACACCCTCCTTCTCTATGCACACGTCACTAGCAGGGACCCAGCAAACCATCAGCACTCAGCTCGTGGGGCTTTGTACATTAGTCAGCGGTGTAGCACAGAATTTCTCCACCGCATGTGAACTAATAAGACACATTTTGTCCGTCTTCTGAGAGGATCGCAGTGGAGTGATGGCTCGACATCAGCCGGCACAGCGGAGGCCTTGTACAACACTAGTGCCTTTACACTCGGAGCATATCTGACAAATGCCAGTGCTCCCACTTTCACCCATCACTGATAATGAGACGGACATATTTGGGACAGTTTCAATATTTGGACAGACTTCATACATGTCGGAGGGTGTGTTCTTCTCCACTCAAAAAAATGTTGGAATGGTGGTTACAGCTGAATTCTGGGTATCATTTGTTATGTGTTTATATTTGATCCATAGGCTTGATTAGGCGGGGCAGATGTGAGTGTGTGTAGAATGGGGGTGGAAAGAAGGGAGAACATTCAACAAATTGTTATAGCAATGGATTCACAATAATCCACTGTACTTCTGAATAATAATAAAAGCACTATTACTGTAATTAATAAAAACTATTAACCATTTGTTAATTTTTAATGCAAGTTTGTTTTATTTTCCATTTCCATTTTTCCTCTTGGGGATGAATAAAAGTAATTCTGATTCTGAAATACTAGTTAGGGTTACGTTAGTAGTTACAGATATACTTCCAAACATTTACTCAGTTTGAAATATTTTGCAATTTCTTGATCAAACATATCAAATAGAAGCAACAGACTCTTAAAAAGTAAACACTGTGGCTAGTGCTCTGTCCAACTCTTGTGAGAACTAGTAGAGAGAAGTGAATAAATCCTTCCTCTGTGGAACACTGTCAAACTAGTCCTTTCTTACATGTCCCATGAATACATTAGCAGGCTGTAGCCTGATTGATTAGAGACCCTCTC